TGTCTTTTCTTCCCAAATGAACAATAATCTTGCTGGGTACAGAATTCTTGGTTGAAATTGCTTTTCCCTTAATATTTTGAATATATTTTCCCATTCTCTCCTCGCTCGCATTGTTTTTGATGAGAGGTCTGCCGTTAGTCTGGTGGGATACCCTTTGTAGGTAACTTGCCTTTTTTCTCTTGCCAGTCTTAGTATCCTGCCTTTGTCTGTGGTTTGGTCAATCTGGCTCTAATGTGTCTTGGAGAGGATCTTCTTGGGTTGATTCTATTTGGGGTCCTCTGTACTTCTTGGGAATGGATCTTTGAGTGCCTCTCCAGGTTTGGAAAGTTTTCTTGCAGGATTTCATGGAATAGATTATCAATGCCCTTATGAGTCTCTTCACCCTCTGGGATGCCTATTATCTGGATGTTTGGACGTTTAATTGTATCTAGTACTTCTCGCATATTATTCTCCAATTTTTGGGCCATTTTCTCAGTCTTCGTGGTGGATTTTTCTAGGCCAACCATTTTCTCTTCTACATTAGAGATTCTATTTTCTGTATGATCTAGTCTGCTTTTAATACTTTCAAGGGAGATTTTGACTTCTTGTATTAAAGCCTTCATCTCTCACAGTTCCATCTGATTCTTTTGTAAAGTATGTAATTCTTCTTTTAGATCTTGCATGAATTTCCTCACCTCCTAGAACTCTTCAACTCCTTTCTCCTTCCTCTTCAGCAGTTCCTTGTCTCTCTTCTCTTCTATCTCTGTTAGCTTTGCCATTATGAATGTTCTGAATTCTTTATCAGACATTTCCATGATTTCCATTGAACTGTGTGTGGATGAAGAGGAGCTATCCGTTTCCCTTGTGGGAGAGGTATTTTCCTGCTTCCCCATATTTCTTGTGGTCTTGCAGCGATTTCTAGTCATCTGGTGGATGGTCGGTTTTTTCCCAAACTTGGAAGTTCAATCAGAGGGTCAGCCCTTTTCTTCTTTGCAAGTGTTTCTCCTAATGATGTGGAAGTCTGACAAATGTCAAGGACCTAGCACCAGACACGAGGCCAGATCTTAAGCTGAGGGTCTTCGACCCAAGCCTGGAGGACATCGTGAGGGCGGAGAGCATCTTCACCCACCAGCATGTTTTTCAAGCCCCTGAGACAGAAATTAAAACCATAGCTGGCCATGTGGGATCTGGTTTGCTTTTATACACAGTGCATAACCACTGTGCTGCAGAGCCAGCCATTTTTAAGATTTTTTTTTTTTTAGCCACAGGGTGTGTACACTTGCCAGAGAAAAGGAGACAGAGATAGAGAGGGGGATGGTGAAGTCACCCCAGGAGGACAGCCATGCTGCAATCCCTTCTTCATTCTCTTGGAATTTTGTTTATGCACATATATGCACCCAGCAGTGTGATTTTTCAAACCGCTGGGTCCAAGACTTGAACCATGGTCAGCCATGTGGGAGTCCAGTGCCTTACCCACCACACCACATGATGGCCTCATTACCATGTTAATTTTAATGGAAACTTCTATTTCTCCTTAGGTTTTACGCCTACTGGATGTCATTGGTTTGCCTGAATTGGTTATTCAGTTGGCTACATCAGCAATAACTGAAGCAGGTGATGACTGGAAAACTCAAGTAAGAATTAACTGCAATTCAGTTGTTTTCTTAGAGGTTTATCGTGGGTGTGGTATGTTAATTTCTGTTGTGTTTTATTTGATATATGCTCTAAATTTGATATTTAGGCTACTTTAAGGACATGCATATTCAAACATCATCTGGATTTGGGTCACAACAGCCAAGCATATGAGGCCTTAACCCAAATTCCTGATTCCAGCAGGTAAACGCAGTTTATTTTAGAGAAGGCAGTTTACCAGCCCTGGTGAACTCACTGCGGCAGTTTACACTTATAAAACCTTTTTATCCTTCTAGGCAGCTGGATTGTTTACGGCAGTTGGTTGTAGTCCTTTGTGAACGCTCACAGCTGCAAGATCTTGTAGAATTTCCCTATGTGAATCTGCATAATGAGGTAATTTCACTCATCCATTGCTGGCCGGAAACAGAGAGGGTGTGTGCCACGAGGGCTACTAACCTGAATATCTGATTCTTTTCCTTATTAGGTTGTGGGAATAATTGAGTCACGTGCCAGAGCTGTGGACCTGATGACTCACAATTACTACGAACTTCTCTATGCATTTCACATCTATCGTCACAATTACCGCAAGGGTGAGCAGTTGAACCAGGCGATCTGTTGGACACAACCATATAAATTTAATCGTAGTTCATGAAAATGTTATGTATTGGACTTTGGTGAGGTTTTTAGAGTTTGTTATTTTGTTTTTTTTTTAAGAGTTATTTATTTATTGGCCGGTAGGTGGCGTGGTGGTTAAGAGCACTGGACTCCCACATGGCTGACCATTGTTTGAGTCCCAAACTTGGGGGCTTGCTTTCTCACTTTCTCTCTCTCTCTCTGGAAATATTAAAATAATAATAATAAATAAAGTTTTAAAATAATTATTTAAATTTTAAAAATAATTTGGGGACCAGCTGGTGGTGTGGTTAAGGTGCTAGACACTCCCACATGGCTGACCACAGTTCAAGTCACAGACCTGGTGGCTTGCATGCTTGCTCAGTCTATGTGTGTGTGTGTGTATCTAGTCAAATTAAAATAAATGAATGAATAAAAATTTTAAATAGTATTTTTTATTTAAAAATAATTTTATCATTATTATTATTTTTAATTTGCTGCAGGCCACATACACTCACCAGAGAGAGACAGAGAAAAGTGAGAAAATAAGCCGTCAAGTCTGGGACTGGAACCATGGTCAGCCATGCGGGAGTCCAGCCCCTTCCCCACCACACTGTCTGCTAGCTCCTTTAGAGTTCATTTTAATCACCAGAGAGATTACATGCATGTGTGAGAAAGAGAGGTAGGGCAGAAGGTACCCCCAACAGGGTCTCACATTACAGTTTCCTTTCCCCAGCTGGTCAAGATCTGGGGCCAGTGGACTCTCAGCTTGTTTTCAGGCCAACTCAGGATCCTAACCCATTATCTACCATGAAGGCTCAGCCAAGCTGCGAAATTCTTTCTTTTTTTTTTTTTCCCAATTTGCCAGAGGATATGTGCCCTCAACAGAGGGAGATAGAGAGGAGCAAAATAAGAAAGCACTCCCCAGGGGAGGTGACCACACGCCAATCCCTTCTCCACAATTCACCTCCTTTGGTCACACACTCCCAGTGTTCTTTTCAAGCCACCGTGTCCAGGACTCAGACTACACAGTTGTCCATGTGGGATCCAGCTGCCTTAACCACTGTGCCACTGGCTGGCCCAAGTTTATATATTTGTAATTATGTTTAAGTACAAAATTCATTTTGCCATTTGGAAGATTACCTGGTAGCCTTGGATATACACAGTTAAGCTCATTCTAGAACATTCTGAAGCATTTCTAGTGAAATGGTGTTTTTTGTGCAGTTCTGTCTAGTTATAAAAGAAACTTCAGTTTTTTCACTCTAGAGGTAGTTGGAATTCTTGTGACTGGTTTTATATTCCTGTGCCATTTTGCTGTTAGTCTCCTCTTCCTTATTTTAGTTCTTAGAGCAAAATTCTGACTGTTTAAATGGGCTTAGGTCATCTAAATATAACAGATGGGGGAACCAGCAGTTAGCGTAATGGCTATGTCACTGGACTCCCACGTAGTCCACCGCAGTTCGCGTCCCGGACCCGGTGGCTTAAAACTCACACCGGGCGTGTGTGCGTGCGTGCCCAAGATCCCGAGAGGAGAATGGAGGAGAAGGGATTGCAGCGTGACCATCCCCCCTGGGGGGTGATTTCTCAATTTCTGTCTCTATGTCTCTCTCTGTCTGTCTGGCGAGCGCACGTGCCCTATAGCGAGGGGGAAAAAAAAACTCTCAAAAAAAATATATATATAATAGGTGGTACTCATTATTAGCTATGGATGGATAGTAACGTCTCTTTGCCTTCATGCAAAAATCCTTAAAGAGGGAAGTAATTTTTATATTTAGAAGTTACCTGGGGCCAGCAGGTGGTATGGTGGTTAAGGCACTGGACTTCCACATGGCCAACCACAATTTGAGTATTGGACCTGGCAGCTTACTTTCTCCCTCTCTGTCTCTCTTTTTTTTTTTTTTTTCTAAGAGGTTTTTGCTACAGGGCATGTGCGCTTACCAGAAAGAGAGAGACAGTTTTTTTCCCCCCCGCTTTCCTTCTTTTTTTTTTTTTCTAAGAGGTTTTTGCTACAGGGCATGTGCGCTTACCAGAAAGAGAGAGACAGAGAGGCAGAAAGTGAGAAATCATCCCCAAAGGGGACGGCCACGCCCCAATCCCTTCTCCTCCATTCTCCTCTTGGGATCTTGGGCACGCACGCACATGCACCCAGCGTGAGTTTAAGCTACCGGGTCCAGGATTTGAACTGTGGTCGACTACATGGGAGTCCAGCAACATAGCCTTTATGCCAACTGCTGGTCCCTCTCTCTTCCTTTCTCTCTCTCTCTTTGTCTCTCTCAGGTGAACACATGTGCCCTATAGCAAATTAAAATAATAATAATAACTAAAATTGGGGCTGCAGGTGGCATGGTGGTTAGGGTGTTTATTTGCCACATTTTGTTCATCTGTCCATCAATGCACACATGATTGTTTCCACCTTTGTGCTATTATGAGTAATACTGCCGTGAATGTAAGTGTAAAAATGCTTCTTCATACTTACCTGGCAGGGGAGAGATACCATGATCACGAAGGTGGTTTTCCCAGGGCGAGGCTTATCCATTGCACTCTGGATGTGCTGACCCCTGCGATTTTCCCAAATGTGGGAAACTCGACTGCATAATTTGTGGTAGTGGGGGACTGCGTTCGCGCTTTCCCCTGTTAAAAAAAAAAAAGCTTCTTCAAGATCCTGCTTTTGGTTATATACCAAGAACTAGAATTGCTGGATCATACTGTATCTCTTTTTAATGTTTGGAGAAACCTCTGTAGTGTTTCCATAGCTGCTGCACCATTTTACGTTCTCAAAAACAGCACACAGGAGTTCTAGTTTTTCCACATCCTCAACAACACATAATTGTTTTTATGGTTTTAAGTTAAACTCAATTTTGTTTTAAACTTTAATACTTGTTAGCTGTAATAAGTTATCTCCATTTGTCTTTAAAGAAACATATTTTTAAAATTCTGATGTCTGCTTTGCTCTTGCCTCATAGCTGGCACAGTGATGTTTGAGTACGGAATGCGTCTTGGCAGAGAGGTTCGAACTCTCCGGGGACTTGAGAAGCAAGGCAATTGCTATCTGGCTGCTCTCAACTGTTTACGACTTATTCGACCAGAATACGCGTGGATTGTGCAGCCAGCCCCTGGTGCAGTGGTAAGAAAATTTTCCATCTTGGAATCTGGTACTGTTTAGTTTGTTTGGTTTGATCCTTTCAAAACTATTCCATCATTTCACTTACTTCATTTAAAATTGCTACTGAAGTATTTGTGAACTTGATTTGTTGTGTTTTGTTTTGCTTTGTTTTTAGAGGTTTTTGCTATAGGGTGCATGCCCTCTCCAGAGAGACAGAAAGCGAGAAATCACGCCCCAGGGAGGATGGCTACGCTTCAGTCCCTTCTCCTCCATTCTCCTCTCGGGATCTTGGGCATGCACGCACATGTGCCTGGTGTGAGGTTAAGCCACCAGGTCCAGGACTTAAACTGCTGTTGACTACGTGGGAGTCCAGCGACATAGCCATTATGCCAACTGCTGGTCCCATGAACTTGATTTGTTTTTGCAGCAATTTCTTTGTCATATATTATTACACCTTTAGTTTCCAAGTTTAGAATTACCATAGGAAGTATTTTTTTTTTTTTTTTTGGAGAGCTTTTTTTATTGCTATAGGGCGCATGCGCTCGCCAGACAGACAGAGAGAGGCATAGAGACAGAAAGTGAGAAATCTCCCCCGAGGGGGGAATGCCACGCCACAATCCCTTCTCCTCCATTCTCCTCTTGGGATCTTGGGCACGCACGCACACATGCCCGGCGTGAGTTTCAAGCCACCAGGTCCAGGACTCGAACCGTGGTCAACTATGTGGGAGTCCAGCAACATAGCCATTACGCTAACTGCTGGTTCCCTATAGGAAGTATTGTAGAGTGGTTTTGGAGGTAGACCTAACTGACTTCAGATAAATTACTTAAACTTACGCAGTTCATTTATCATCTTGCATAAAATAGGGATGGTAATATCTCATAGGATTATTTGGGTATTGAATGAGGTGAGTAGAGTAGATGTCTTAGAACATTAGTAGTGTCTGGCTCATAAAAAGTGTTCAACAAATGATAGCTGCTTTATTATTATTATTATTTAATTTTTATTTATTTTTTTGAGAGGTTTTTGCTATAGGGCACGTGCACCCGCCAGAACAACAGAGAGAGATAGATAGAAAGAGAGAAGTCACCCCCGGGGGGATGGCCATGCTGCAATCCCTTCTCCTCCATTCTCCTCTTGGGATCTTGGGCACGCACGCACACATGCCCGGCGTGAGTTTCAAGCCACCAGGTCCAGGACTGAAACCACGGTCGACTGCATGGGAGTCCAGAGACATAGCCATTACACCAACTGCTCGTCTCCCAATAGATGCTTTTATTGTATTTGTTAATTCAGTCTGCAATATCTATTCGAAAGTTGTTGAGCTTTTTCTGTCATGCAACAATGATGGGTCACATATACATATACCTAACTACATATGTCTTCTGGTTCCTGCATTTACTAGGCTGTTGCCCAGGGTTATGAATAGAGAATGTAGCTCAGGAATCAAAGAAAGTCAACTGTTTGGAATTAGCAGAGAGTGGAGTGGTTACATTGCTAGACTTCCACATGGCTGACCGTGGTTTGAGTCCTGGACCTGGTGGTGACTAGAAAATTGAAACGCACACCAGGCGTGTGTGTGTGCGTACATGCCCAAGAACCCAAGAGGAGACCAGAGGAGAAGGGATTGCGTCTTGGCCATCTCTCTGGGGGTGTTATTTCTCACTTTCTGTCTTTCTGTCTCTTCAGCAAGTACATGTGCCCTATAGCAAAAATCTATCTTAAAGGAAAAAAGGAAAGTCAGATGGTTTATACTGTGATCAAATCCAGGCCCTCGGACTCAGTAACATGTTACAGTTAAGTGACCAGCTCAGGAACAACAACTATCTCTCTGCCTGTCACAGTAGCTTGT